AACAAGGCAAGCCTCAATAAATTTAAGAAGATTGAAATCATCCCAACCATCTTTTCTGACCACAATGCTATGATGCTAGAAATCAACCACAAGAAAAAAACTGGGAAAGTCAGAAATATGTGGAGACTAAACAACATGCTGTTAAAGAACCATTGGATCATTGAAGAAATCAAAGGGGAAATTAAAAAATATCTGGAGGCAAATGAAAATGAAAATGCAACATATCAATTCTTATGGGATGCAGCAAAAGCAGTCATAAGAGGGAAATTCATAACAAAACAGGCCGCCCTCAACAAGCAAGAAAAATCTCAAATAAGTAATCTTAAAATGCATCTAAGACAGCTAGAAAAAGTCAGCAAAAGGAGGGAAATAATAAAAACCAGAGCAGAAATAAATCTAAAAGAGACAAAAAACAGTAGAAAGGACTAATGAAACCAAGAGCTGGTTCTTTGAGAAGATAAACAAAATTGACAAACCATTAGCCAACTCACCAAGAAAAAGATAGAGAAAGCTCAAATAAATAAAATCAGGAATGAAAGAGGAGAAATTACAACAGATACTGCAGAAATACAAACGATTGTAAGAGAATACTATGAAAAACTATATAACCACAAATTCGATAACCTAGAAGACATGGATGAGTTCCTGGACTCATACAACCTCCCAAAACTGAATCAAGAAGAAAGAGAATCCAAATAGACCAATCACATATACACAGATTGAAACAGTAATCGAAAACCTCCCAAAAAACAAAAGTCCAGGACCAGATGGCTTCTCTGGAGAATTCTACCAAACATTCAAAGAACATTTAGTACTTATCCTTCTCAAACTATCCCGAAAATTTGAAGAAGATGGAATGCTTCCTAAAACGTTCTACAAAGGCCTTACCCTCATACCAAAACCAGATAGGGACAACACAAAGAAGGAACACTACAGGCCAATAACACTGATGAACTTAGAAGCAAACATCCTCAACAAAACCTTAGCAAACTAAATACAGCAATAAATTAAAACAATTGTACACCATAAGCAAGTGGGATTTATTCCAGGGATGCAAGGATGGTTCAACCTCTGCAAATCAATCAATGTGATAAACCACATTAACAAAATGTGGAATAAGAATCACTTGATCACTTCAATAGATGCAGAGAAAGCATTTGACAAGATCTAACATCCATTTATGATAAAAACTCTCAATAAAATTGGTATAGAGGGAAAGTACCTCAATGTAATAAAGGCCATATATGAGAAACCCGCAGCCAACATTATACTTAATGGTAAAAAACTGAAAGTCATCTCTCTGAGAACAGGAACAAGACAAAGATGCCCACTCTCGCCACTCCTATTCAACATAGTACTGGAGGTATTGGACAGAGCAATTAGGCAAGGAAAAGAAATAAAAGGAATCCAAATTGGAAAGGAAGAAGTGAAACTTTTGCTATTTGCAGATGACATGATTCTATATATAGAAAACCCTAAAGAATCCACCAGAAAACTATTAGAAATACTCAAGAGCTACAGCAAAGTTATAGGGTATGATATCAATTTTAAAAAATCAGTTGCACGCCTAAACACTAACAGTGAACTAGCAAAAGAGAACTCAAGAATACAATCCAATTTACAATTGCAACAAAAAGAATAAAATACCTAGGAATAAACTTAACCAAAGAGGTGAAAGACCTGTACACTGAAAACTATAAGACATTATTGAAAGAAAATGAAGAAGACAAAGAAGTGTGAAAGATATTCCGTGTTCATGGGTTAGAAGAATAGACGTAGTTAAAATGTCCATACTACCCAAAGCAATTGACAGATTCATTGCAATCCTAATCAGAATCCCAATGAGATTCTTCGCAGAAATAGAGCAAAGAATCCTAAAATTTATATGGAACAACAAAGCACCCCCAATTGCCAAAGCAATCCTGAGAAAAAGGAACAATGCTGGAGGCATCACAATCCCTGTCTTCAAAACATACTACAAAGCTGCAGTAATCAAGACAGCAGGGTACTGGCACAAAAACAGACAAACAGATCAATGGAGCAGAATTGAAAGCCCGGAAATAAAACCATGCATCTGTGGACCATTAATCTTGGACAAAGGAGCCAAGAACATACAATGGAGAAAGGAAAGTCTCTTCAATAAATGGTGTGGGGAGAACTGGACAGCTACATGTAAAATAATGAAACTAGACCATTATCTTGCAGCATACACGAAAAATAACTCTAATGGATTAAGGATTTGAATGTAAGACCTGAAACCATAAAAACCCTAGAAGAAAATATAGGCAGTACACTCTTTGACATTGGTCTTAGCAAAAACTTTTCAAATACCATGTCTACTTGGGCAAGGAAACAAAAGAAAAAGTTAACAAATGGGACTACATAAGACTAAGAACCTTCTCTAAAGCAAAGGAATCCATGAACAAAACAGAAAGACAACCCACCAGCTGGGAGAAAATATTTACAAATCATTTATCAAACAAGAGGTTGATCTCCAAAATATATAAAGAACACATACAACTCAACAAAACACCACAAAAACCTTAATCAAAAAATGAGCAGAGGATATGAACAGACATTCCTCCAAGGAAGATATACAGATGGCCAACAGACACATGAAACGAGGCTCAACATCACTAATTATTAGGGAAATGCAAAACAAAACTACAAGGGCTGGCCCGGTGGCTCAGCAGTTAAATGAACACATTCCGCTTTGGCGGCCCAGGGTTCACTGATTCGGATCCCAACTGTGGACATGGCACTGCTTGGCAAGCCATGTTGTGGGAGGCGTCCCACATATAAAGTAGAGGAAGATGGGCACCAGCGTTAGCTCAGGGCCAGTCTTCCTCAGCAAAAAGAGGAGGATTGGCAGCAGTTAGCTCAGGGCTAATCTTCCTCAAAAAAGGAAGAAATTAAAACTACAATAAGACGTCACCTTACACCAGTCAGAATGGCAATAGTTGACAAGACAAAAAAATAACAAATGTTGGAGAGGATGAGGAGAAAAGGGAACTCTCACACACAGCTGGTGGGAATGCAAACTGGTGCTGCCACTATGGAAAACAGTGTGGAGATTTCTCAAAAAATTAAAAATAAAAGTATCATATGATGCAGCTATCCTACTACTGGGTATCTATCCAAAGAACTTGAAATCAATTATCCAAAGAGATTTATGCAGCCCTATGTTCATTGCAGCATTATTCACAATAGCGAAGCTGTGAAAGCAACCCAAGTGCCCTTCTACAGATGAATGGGTAAAGATGTGGTATATATACTTTCAATGGAATACTCCTCAGCCATAAAAAGACAAAATTGTCCCAATTGCAACAACATGGATGCACCTTGAGGGTATGGTATTAAGTGAAACAAGCCAGACAGAGAAAGACAAATCCTGCATGATTTCACTCATATGTGGAAGAGAACAAATACATGGATAAAGAGAACAGATTAGTAGTTACCAGAGGGGAAGGGGGTTGGAGGGTGGGAAAAAAGGGTAAAGGGGCACATATATATTGTGAGGGATAAAGTTAGATGACTGGGATCCAGCATGATGAAGTGTATTCAGGAATTGATAGACAATAATGCTCACCCAAAATTATACAATCATATAACCCATTATAATTACAATAAAATGACTTGAAAAAATTACTCAGTGCTGCCACTGGAGTGCAGCACCGGTCATAGACAATACATAACAAATAGTTGTGTTCCAATAAAACTTTGCTTATTGATGCTGAAATTTGAATTTTGTATAATTTTCAAGTCCCATGAAATATTATTCTTTTATTTTTTTCAACTATTTGAAACAGTAAATAAAATTCATAGCTCACAGGCACATAAAAGCAGGCAGTGGGCCAAATATGGCCCATGGGTCATAGTTTCCCATCCCTTGGGCTAGAAGATTTCTTGAAGTTATTCATAAAAAGAAAATATTAGGGTTCAGAGGACATAGTGATAGTCAAGGAGTAATTAGAGATATGAGGGAGGGAGCAAATGTGGGAGGGATTATTCAATCAGCAATAGGGAGCAGCAGTTATACCTGTTTTACACTCAAATACACAGAAATTGTTAACTCTAACAGATTGACATATATTGAGAAATATATTCACATCTACTTACTGGGGTCATTATAAACTACAATACGACAGGGATGTTATTGTCTTTTCAATGAGAAATGAAATTGAAAGTCCTCTGTGTGTGTATTGGCACAAAATGGCTTGGTTCAATGAGGGCCGTCATGTCATCTTTTATACTGTGACACAGTGTGTCCCTGCAGTCATTTCTCTAGTATTGCAGTACTCGTGGCACCCAGTGTGATCAAGGCATTGTCTTAAGTGTATTACTAACTGATTAGACTCTGATAATTAATTTTTTTATAAAATAAATCTTATCCCAAGTTTATATTCAGTGTAGGATTTAAATATATATAAATTTCATTTGATTAAGAAAAATGTGTGCTTGCTGCTTTTAAAACGGGAAATAGACAAAATTACAAAGAATAAGAAAAACCTCTACTATCCAGAGATAGTGGAAATTACCTTAAAAAATAAATCCTGTTATTTTGTGAATGTATATCTTTTTCAAACGTGAGACCACACTCCATATCAGTGGTTCTCAACGGCGGCAGTTTTGCACCCTTGGGGACATTTGGCAATGGCGGGAAACTATTTTTGTTGTCACTACTTGGTGGAGGAGAGTGCTGCTGGCATCTAGTGAATCCTGGGATGTTGCTAAATGTGCTACAACACAGAGGATGGCGCTCTACAGCACAGAATCATCCAGCCCAGAACGTCAACAGTGCTGAGACTGAGAAACTCTGATCTATGTAGTATATATACTGCTTTGTAAATTTAACATATCGTGGACATTTTCTAATATCCATAGCGATCTGAAAATATGTTTTTTTAAGGGCTGAAAGGTACTCCAGTTCAAGGATGCATAATAAGCAATATTATCTTATTTACAATAGTAAAATTATTAAAGAACATGATGGTCCAAAATGAGTTGATTGCACTTTCCTTTTGTTGGATCCAGGAGGCCCCTGTGCTGACTGTGATCACCTACACGGGGCTGAGTCCCTCTCTGCTGTGTCTCCTCCTGGCAGCCCTCACCTTCCTCCTTTGTCGATCCATCCAGAATACCAGCATCTCCTCTACCTGCAGCTCCTTCTCTGCCTCTTCCTGGCCCACCTTCTCTACATCACAGGCATCAAACAGACCAAGCCCCAGGTAGAAAAACTAATCAAACCTCATTCTTCTTTGGGGAGCTTGCCAATGAGGAGAAAAGGGGTATATGGAGAAGTGATGTGACAAGAAAGAACTTGATGACAAACTTCAAAAATGATTTGTTGCTGCCATTTGCAAAGCACTTTGTATAGGTCAAGCTCTGTGATTTACATTATTTCATTTAACTAGCTGAATTCATTTGCTTTAACAGGTATTTATATAGGGCCAACTCTGGACCTAGAACTTTGCTAGTCACTAAGGATACACAGTGCCCGTCCTCATCCAATAAAAAAATAAAGAACTTGTTTTCACAGCACAAGTAAACACACAGGGATTCAGGCTCTCACAGGTGAGACACCTGCCAATGTCAAAAATAGGAGAGGCTCCCTGAAGGAATTTATGTCTAAACTGAATCCCTAGGTTAGGGCAAGGGGTTAGCCAGTGGAAGAAAAACAGCATTCCAGACAGAGAACTGAGGAAGGCCTGGATGTGAGCTGGGTCTCAACTAACCTGGGAAATGTTAGGTCACTCAGTTTACCTAGAACAATGATTCTCACACTTTCCTGTGCCTCAGACTCCTCTGGAGGGGTTTTGAAAAAATGAGCCTTCCCCCTAGATTTTATGATCTAGTGGGTCTAGTGTGGAGAAGAGGAATCTGCATTTATACCGAGTTCTCAGGTCGTATTGATGCTGATGGTCCAGGGACCATACTTTGAAAGCTACTCACATGGAGTATCTACTGAGACTGTGGAGGAGCCACGAATTGGTCACTTTTTACACTGCCTTCTGGGAGTTCTGGGCATTGTGTTGTATCTCAGACTTTAAAACTGAAATAGAAACAATGTAGAGCAATCTTTAAGGCTGAAAACTTCTCCAAGCTCTGAAGTAAATGGAACGGATTTGAGTGTGAGAGAAGATGTGGAACCCACAGCACTTACTCACTGCTTGGATGTGGAGGATGAGGTTGGGGAAGTCGTCAGGAGTGACACCCAGAATGCAGGTTCGGCCAATGGGATGGATGGCTGATTTTCCTGTTCAGTGGCAGAATACAGGGTAAGAAGGCCTTTGAATCAGATCCCTTTGAGACATGTTGATTCTGCCAGAGGGCAGATTTCATTTGAAGTGGTCAGAGGACAAGTCCCTCTACAGATCCAGTGCTCAGGATAGAATTTAAACATGGAAAGAATTAGCACACAGTGTGGAGGTAATGAAAACCCAGGGAGGAGATGAAAGCTCTCAGGAATAAGCATGAAGAATGAGAAGGGGGTTGAGAATGGAATTCTTAAGGATGGGCATAGGAAAAGAACAAAAAGACAGAGACAGAATAGACAAAGAGGGAAGAGTTTTAATTGTCAAATATTGCAAAGTTCCAGGGCAATGAAGGCTGAAAATCTCCTGCTGGTCTACTCCAAATGTGACCATTGGTGAATTTGGTGAAAGCTGTCTAAGAGGAGTGGTAGGGCAGACGCCATGTAGTACTGGGGGAGGACTGAGGACTGAAGGTCAAGTTGGGGAAGAGGGATGAGAAGAAGGGACACTGTAAAGGGAGGGAGAGACTGGAAAGAACTCAGAGCAGAATTTGAGAGCTGGAAGGTATTTTGGTGTAGTAAAATGGGAGAGCCTAGATAATGCCTAAATGTACTTGAGAAGGTGTCCAAGAGGAGAACCATGACTAACAACAGAGGGAGGGACACAAGCAAGACTAAGAGGACAGGATAGAGAACAAAAAAGTGGTTTTTGCTTTGGAGGATACTGAGGAAATGTAGAATTTCTATACAGTATTAACACACTTTAGTCAGAGACCATAAAAAATCCGTATAGTATTTTAGTTCTTAGGCAGTATCTTAATTAGAATAAAGAAAGCAGAAAGCTATATTTACATGGTAATACTTTTACCAATTGGGTATTATAAAAGAATAAAAAGCAAGAGAGTCAGATATAATCACAAAAGTTGTTGAAACAATATAAGTTGAGGTCTGGAATATAGAGGGAAGGAGACGAATGAAGGAAGGAACAAACTAGTGTGGAGAAAGTAGAAGGACCTAGGAACTGGTGTCTTGGCAAGGTTTAAGAAGTGGGATGGTTGAAGTCATTGCATTTTCAAAAACATGGAAGGATATGTTTAAAAAGAAGACTGTCTGAATTTAATGGCAAAGAGTACAGTGTGGCCACGGAAATAGATGTCCAAAGTGAAATGGAAGTCATTGTAGGTAAGAGGACAAGAAACTTAGAGGCCAAGATATTGGATATTGAAATTACCCAGGACGATGGCAGAAACTGCAGAGGCACTGAAGTTTTTTTATTATTTCTATTTTGTTAACTGCAGTAACAGTGGTTCATAACATTATATAAATTTCAGGTGTACATCATAATATATTTTGAATTTTGTGTAGATTACATCATGTTCACTACTAATTACAATCCATCACCACACACATTTGCCTAATCACCTCTTTTGCCCTCCCCCTTCCCCCCTTCTCCTCTGGTAACCATCAATCTAATCTCTGTTTTTGTGTGTTTATTGTTTTTATCTTCTGCTTATGAGTGAGATCATACAGTATTTGACTTTCTTCCTCTGAGTTAGTTCACTTACCATGATACCCTCAAGGTCCATCCATGTTGTCACACATGGTTGGATTTCATCATATCTTATGGCTGAGTAGTATTCCATTGTGTATATACAACACATCTTTATCCATTCGTCCCTTGATGGGCACCTAGCATAACCAAAAGTTCGGTCCCTGAACCTGATGCCAATCTGAATAACGAGAACAGAGTCTTGAGTGGAAGAGGAAAGGTTTTTACCATGCCAGGCACAGGGAGCAAAGCAAGGGCTCATGCCTCAAAAATTGCTAGCTCCCCAATGAGGAATGGGTAGGGATTTTTATTTGGGGTTTTGGGTAGGGGTGGGGGAACATGTAACTTGTGCAGGTCGGCGCTCTTCCACCAGCCTGCGTTTGGCCTTGAGAGGCTGCTTGCAGCGAGGTGGGGTGGCTGGTGAGATAGGAGGATGGCAGGTGGGCATCCTTTGCCGTTGTTGTCTTGTCTGCCTGTTTGAGGCGGGTTCGAGCGCTGGGAGTGAAGAGTTGAGGTCTGGGGAGCCTCTGCTCCTTGATATTCTTGAGACAGCTGCTTTCCTGGCAGACTTCAAGGACACGTGATCAGCTAAACTTTAGTGTGCTTCCAACTCCAGGCCACCTGGGCTTTTAACAATTTGTAACTCGCATTTAGTTGTAAAGCTCAAGGAGTCCAAGTTTAAAGAAACAGGTATTTGCATATGAGTGGAGCTAGAGAAGCAGGAAAGGGGGTGGTGGGTTTTAGTTTTAATGCCATATATGCTGGGTTCAATGTGGGGGAACTGATATCAGGGCTGATGTTAAGAGCCTGTAAGACTAGTTTGCTTTCAGGTCTTGGGTATTGTGAATAACGCTGTGATGAACATAGGGATGCATGTATCTTTATGCATTTGTGTTCTCATGTGCTTTGCATAAATACCCAACAGTGGAATAGCTGGATCATATGCTAGATCTATTCTTAATTTTCTGAGAAATCTCCATACTGTTTTCCATAGTGGCTGCACCAATTTGCACTCCTGCCAGCGGTGTATGAGAGTTCCCTTCTCTCCATCTCTTCTCCAACACTTATTGTTTCCTGCCTTAAGTAGCCATTCTGACCAGAGTGAGGTGATATCTCATTGTACTTTTGATTTGCATTTCCCTGATAGTTAATGATGTTGAACATCTTTTCATGTGCCTGTTGGTCATTTGTATATCTTTGGAGAAATGTCTGTTCATATCTTTTGCCCATTTTTTAATTGGGTTGTTAGCTGTTTTGTTATTGAAGTGTATGAGTTCTCTCTATATTTTGGATATTAACCCCTTATCTGATATGTGGTTTGCAAATATCTCCTCCCAATTGTTAGGTTGTCTTTTCATTTTCTTGATGATTCCCTCTGCTGTGCAGAAGATTTTTAGTTTGATGTAGTCCCATTTGTTTATTTTTTCTATTGTTTCTCTTGCTAGGTCAGATATGATATTTGAAAAAATGCTGCTAAGACTGATGTCAGAGAGCATACTGCCTATGTTTTCTTCTAGAAGTTTCATGGTTTCAGACCTTAAATTCAAGTCTTTAATCCATTTTGAGTTGATTTTTTTCCAAGTAATTTTCTTGGGATTATAATGATTTATAACATTTTTGGTTGATTTTTGTGCATGGTGTAAGATAATGGTCTACTTTCATTCTTTTGCATGTGGCTGTCTAGTTTTCCCAACACCATTTATTGAGGAGACTCTCCTTTCTCAGTTGGATGTTCTTGGCTCTTTTGTCGAAAATTACTTGTCCATAGACATGTGGGTTTATTTCTGGGATCTCAATTCTGTTCCATTGGTCTCTATGTCTGTTTTTGTACCAGTACCATGCTGTTTTGGTTACTATGGCTTTGTAGTATATTTTGAAGTCAGGGAGTGTGATACCTCTGGCTTTGTTATTTTTTCTCAGGATTCCTTTGGCTGTTCAGTGTGTGTGTTTTGTTGTTCCATACAAATTTTAGGATTCTTTGTTCTATTTCTGTGACAAATGTTAGAACTTTGATAGAGATTGCACTGAATCTGTAGGTTGCTTTAGCAACTATGGACATGTTAACTGTTAATTCTTCCAATCCAAGAGCATGGAATATCTTTCCATTTCTTTGTGTCTTCAATTTCTTTCAACAATGTTTTATAGTTTTCAGTGTACAGATCTTTCATCTCTTGGGTTAAGTTTATTCCTAGATATTTTTGTTGTTGCAATTGTAAATGGGATTGTATTCTCAATTTCTCTTTCTGCTATTTGTTGTTAGTGTATAGAAATACAACTGATTTTTATATGTTGATTTTGTATCCTTCAAGTTGACCATATTCATTTATTATTTCTAAAAGTTTTTTTAGTGGATTCTTTAGGATTTTCTATATATAAAATCATGTCATCTGCAAATAGTGACAGTTTCACTTCTTCCTTTCCAGTTTGGATCCCTTTTATTTCTTTTTCTTGCCTGATTGCTCTGGCTAAGATTTCCAATACTATGTTATATAAGAGTGGTGACAGTGGGCATCCTTGTCTGGTTCCTGTTCTTAGAGGGATAGCTTTCAGTTTTTCTCCATTGAGAATGATAATAACTATGGGTTTGTCATATATGATCTTTATTATGTTGAGGTATTTTCCTTCTATACCCATTTTATTTAGAGTTTTTTCATAAACAGATGCTGTATCTTGTTAAATGCTATCTGCATTTATTGAGATGATCATGTAATTTTTATTTTTCATTTTGTTAATGCAGTGTGTCACAGTGACTGATTGGCAGATATTGAACCACCACTGGAATGAATCCCACTTGATCATGATGTATAATCTTTTAATGTACTGTTGTATTCAGTTTGCTATTATTTTGTTGAGGATTTTTGCGTTGATGTTCATCTGTGATGTTAGCCTGTAATTTTCTTTCTTTGTGTTCCCCTTGTGTGGTTTTGGTATCAGGATAATGTTGGTTTCATAGAATGAGTTAGGAAGCTTCTCTTCATCTTCAATTTTTTTGAAGAGTTTGAGACAGATACATATTAAGTCTTCCTTGAATGTTTGGTAGAATTCACAAGGGAAGCCATCTGGTCCTGGACTTTTATTTTTTGGGAGGTTTTTGATTTCTGTTTTCATCTCCTTACTGGTGATTGTTCTATTCAAATTCTCTATTTCTTCTTGATTCAGTTTTGGAAGGTTGTATAATTCTAAGAATTTATCCATTTCTTCTAGATTATCCAATTTGCTGTTGTATAGCTTTTCTCTTATAATATTTTGTATTTCTGAGGTGTCTGTTGTAATTTCTCCTCTTTCATTTCTGATTTTATTTATTTGAGGCTTCTCTCTTTTTTTCTTGCTGAGTCTAGGTAAAGGTTTGTCAATTTTGTTTATCTTTTCAAAAAACCAACTCTTGGTTTCATTGTTTTTTTCTATTTTTTTAAATCCCTATTTCATTTATTTCTGCTCTTATTTTTCTTATTTCCTTCCTGCTAGTGATTTTGTGCTTGCTTTGTTCTTTTTCTGGTTCCTTTAGGTGCACTGTTAGATTGGTTATTTGAGATTTTTCTTCTTTGTTGAGGTAGGCCTGAATTACTATAAACTTCCCTTTTAGAACTGCTTTTGCTGTATCCCATAGGTTTTGGCATGTCGTATTTTCATTTTCATTTGCCTCTAGATATTTTTTGATTTCTCCTTTGATTTCTTCATTGACCCAATCATTGTTGAGTAGCATTTTGTTTAATCTCCACATATTTGTGTCTTTTCTAATTTTCTTCCTGTAGTTGATTTCTAGTTTCATATCTTTGAGGTCAGAAATGATGCTTGGTATTATGTTAATCTTATTAAATTTATTAAGAATTGTTTTGTGGCCTAATACGTGATCAATCCTGGAAAATGTTCCATGTGCATTTGAAAAGAATGTGTATTCTGCAGTTTTGGATGGATTGTTCTATATATATCTACTAAGTCTATTAGGCCTAATGTGTCATTGAAGACCAATGTTTCCTTATTGATCTTCTGTTTGTATGATCTATCCATTGGTGTAAGTGGAGTGTTAAAGTCTCCTACTGTTGTTGTGTTACTAGTTCTCCTTCTATCGCTGTTAATAATTGCTTTATATGTTTAGGTAGTCCTATGTTGGGTGCATAGATATTTTCAAGTATTATATTCTTTTGTTGAATACTTTCCTTTATCATTACGTAGTGCCCTTCTTTGTCTCTTGTTACAGTTTTTGTTTTAAAGTCTATGTTGTCTGATAGAAGTATTGCTACTCCAGCTTTCTTTTCTTTGCCACATGAAGTATCTTTTTCTATCCCTTCACTTTCAGTTTGCGAGTGTCTTCAAGTCTCAAGTGTGTCTCTTGTATGGAGCATACACCAGTCCAAATGTTCCAGGAGTGACCCCTGTGTGTGCTACGTGTGTACTTCCAACTATGGCAGGGTTGTTCTTGCTGCAGGTGCCCAGGGAGTCTAGGCTTTCCCACCCTGGTTGGCTGTTTATAAATCGGGTTTTGGGAGCCCCAGCACAGTTGGCTGCCAGGACTAACAGCACACTCCTGTTTCAGTTTTTCTGTTATGTGTGTAGGCACAAATATGATGCTACAGTGGGAATTAAATGACATCCTAGATTTGTTTGCCGACAAATTGAAGTAAAAGAAGGGCATTCGAAGGCTAAGTAAACTTCTCCCGCTAAATGTGTCTTGAGACAGCCCTAGGGAATAGCAGGTGGTGCACTCTCTGTGCCCATGGAGCGCTCCGGTGCCTCTCCTCCCCCTCTAGGTGCTGTGCTCCATCATTGCAGGGCTGTTGCACTGCCTCTACTTGGCCTCCTTCACCTGAATGCTCCTTGAAGGACTGCACCTCCTCCTCACCGTTAGGGACCTCAAAGTGGCCAACTACACCAGCACAGAAAGACTCACGAAGAAGATCCCATATCCTTTTGTCTATGGTATCCCAGTGGTGATTGTGGCTGTGTCTGCAGGGCTCCACCCCCGTGGATATGGCACATCTACAAAGTGAGTGAGTGCTGAACTCATGGTTGGGAAATGTGTGCACACCTGTCTCCATAGGAAATCAAGGGAGAAACAATAGGAAACTACTTGTGAAGACTATCATCACTATAATGATTACTTCTGACATCTATAATAGTAACAGCAGTGGTGGCGGCAGCTCTCATTTGCTGTTTCCTATGACCAGGCTCTGTGGTAAACGCTTTATATATAATATTCCTTTTGACACTCAGCACCACCATTTGAAGTAGAGATTATTCTTTTGTCCCCAGTTACCAGGTGAGGAAACTGAGGCTCAGTAAGGTTGAGTGATTGGTCCCAGGTCATAGAATTAGTTAAGTATCAGATTTGCCTACTCCTGGAAGGCCTACTCTTCTCATTCAACTAAATTATGGTGCATCCCTAAACCATTGTATTCACAATACAAAGCAACTTCTTCTTCTTCTTTGTTTTTTCATTCTCTGAACAATATCAGAGAGTCAGGAGAGAATAGTTTGATGTTTAAAACCAGATAAACAAGTTGAGTTCTCTGAATTACCACTCAAGTTTTTACTATCATATAGATGGGATCACTTATTTCCAGAGTCTACAGGGTCTTAGAGGTTATCTAATAGCACCCATTCAGCTCCACCCAACACATACATTATGCATGAAAAAAATAGATGGACTAATGGCTGACAACGTAATCATTTTGAAATGCAGAGAAAGGAAAAGCCTTTTCTCCATACAAGCAGAAATTAAATAAATTTCTCTAGATGAGTTTCACTGTCAGGAGGCCAATACATTGCTGTCAAGCAGGATGCCTCATCTCAATTCCTATCCACCCGTTATTATGGCCACAACATTCAGAATATATGATACTTTGTAAATGTTTTATGACTAACTAAAACTTGTATTTCCTGATAAACAAGGATTTTTGTGTTGTTTTTTATCCCGAGTATACTGTAAAATGTATAATGTTGTGTGACAGTCTTTAGAAGCACTTGAAACCCTCATCATTGCTGTAAACGTTCTTCCCAGTCTGAGAGTCTGCTCTGAAATAGCAAAAATCTATGGATTCCCATATCTAACTATGTTGACAAACATTCTATACTATTCAGAGCCTCTGACTGTGTTTGGGATTGTCTCCATTCTTCACTCTCTGGCTAATCTCTACCTTTGTTCTTTCTCCAATTCTAGTCTATTATGCATCCAGACTTTTCTTAAAACTTTACTGTGCTATTCAAATTCAAAAACCAACAAATGAGGAGCCTAAATTAACATCAAGTTAAACTGCCTGTGGCAATCTTTCCAGGTCCTTCATAACCTCGCCTGACCCCATTTATTCCAAAATTCTTCTCACTAAGTTACTGAAGCCGTAGGCTACTACCTCCAGACATCACCCAAGCACCTTACTATTCCTCATGAACCTTGTATGGCAAATGTACTTTAACACTGAATGTATCTCTAATTATGAGTATTTTTGATGGGAAACATACTGCATACATTTAAGTATCTCTTAAGCATCTTACCTTTTTCCCGGACAGGACTGAGCAGTTGATATACATTTACTGACTCTTCTTTTTTCAGTTGCTGGCTCAACCTAAAAAGAGGATTTTTCTGGAGTTTCGTATGTCTAGTCTCTCTGATCGTCTTGGTGAGTATATAGTATATTTCTTTTCTTCGTAAGGTAAGTCAAACTAGATACCATACGAATATGGTAAACTAATACATTAACATCATTTAAAATTAACTGTCCTATAGCAAATCTACATCTTCGTGATCCATTGTCTCCTCAATTGGCAGGTAATGTGACCATCCTTGTCCCCTTCCCAGATCCCAGGTACAGTCCACCTTTGTCACAAGCATTCTTTGACCACCTAGATCATTTATGTTCTGCTTTGTTGTGTCTCTTACTGGTGCAACTTGGCAACAGTCACTCCTTAATACTGATTTGCTCCTAAGTCATTCAAAGTTGACTGCAGTGATGTCTCTCACATTATATATTCCATTTCAGTGAAAGGTCACCACATCTGCCAATAATACCTTCCATTATATTCTCTTGCATGTCCTAACTTCAAAGTACCTTTGCATCTACTGTATCATTTTATTCAAGTAATCATTACGAGAAGGGAAAGGCACCTATCACTTAGATCAAAGGTTGGCAAACACATTCTTTAAAGAACCAGATATTAAATATGTTTGGCTTTGTGGATTATATGGTCTCTATTGCAACTACTGACATCTGCTGTTGTAGCACAGAAACAGTTAAGGAAAATACTGAACAAATGGGTGTCACTAAGTTCCAATAGAAATTAGAATTTCATACCATTTTCTTGGGTCCAAAAATATTCTTCATTTTCAAATTTTTTCAACCATATAAAAATACAAACACCATTCTTAACTCATGGGCTCTACAAAAACTAGTGGTGTGCTGGGTTTGGACTGTAGACCATAGGTTGCCAATACCTTATTTGTATAAAGCTATTTCCAAGAAACAGTATTTTTTATAAAAATTAAAGTAACAAAATCATTCCTTAATAATATAATGAGTTTGACTCTGCCCTGAAGAGCAAATGTGAGCATTTTATAATTAAAAAAAAGACCAAGTTCATACAGATAACTGTTTAATGGTATAGCTGTTTAATATTATTTTCTTGGCTCCTAACTCCAATATCAGTGGCCTCCTTCACTTACTAAACACTTTTTTTAACAAACATATTTACTCCTGAATTTTTAAGTATGAGAAAAATACAAGAAATATTTTATTATCATGAAAAAACAGGAAAGTGGGAAGTATGTGCTATCTAGTTCTGTTACCCACAACCATACGGTAAGAACTTTTCCTCCTTGAGACACTCATCTAAATCAATGCTTCTTAAAATTTAATGGGCCTACAAAGCCCAGTGTGATGTTTGAAAGTGTTGATTCTAATTCAATATGCCTTGGGTGAATCCTGGAGAATCTGCATTTCTAGTAAGCTACCAGGTGTTGTTAATGCTAATGGTGCATGGACCACATTTTGAGTAAAAAGAGTCTCAGACAAGGCAACATGGTACAAAAAGCACTGAAAGGAGGAACAGAAATCCTGAATTCAAGCAGGAAATTGTAATTTAGAAAAAATTTGAGCGCCTGCTATGTGCCAGGCACCGTTCAAGGCACTGAATAAGACGGACATGGCCCTGCCCTCACACGGCTGTCCGTCTTCTGGAGGAACAACAGGTAAATAAATAAATCATTGCACAGGGAGGTGAATGTTCTGCAGGAAACCACAAGGGACTCAGATGTCAACGTTAACAAAAACAACTAGTATTTAATGAACATTAGTAATGGATTGACTGTCCTCTTATCACTTAATGTGCCATTAATATCTCATTCAACTCTCATCAGAACCGTATTGCTACTATTATCACCATTTTACACAAGAAAAACCAAAGCACAGACATTGTCTGGTTTGACCAAGTTCCCTCTGCTGGTAAGCTTGATGCTGGGATTCCAATCCAGCCCACTGGGCTCCAGAGCCCACATTCCTAACCCCCCGGGTTATACAGACTAGAGACTAAAGGTGTGTGGATGTGATGGAAGGGAGCTCCTTTTTATAGGGTGGTAAGGGGAGGCCTTTCTGAATGGGACCAGTTGAGTAATCCAGGTGAGAGATGGTCACATGGAGCAGGGAGTGAATGACAGGGAAATGGAGAACTGACTGCATCCAAAATGCATTTGGGAGCCAGAATGGAGACAATGTACTGATGGATTCGTTGTGGGTTGATGGAAAAACAGTAGTTAAGGACGGCATCTTTTAACAAACATTTATCGAGCACCTTCTCTGTTCTATTTTTGCAACTTCTGTAGTCTATAGTTAATTCTAAATAAAAGGTGAATTAAATTTGTGTTCTTCAATAGATCTTTAAAATCTTCTATTGTACTTTCCTGTTAGTAACTGCTGATGTAGAAGAATGCTACAGGGTTTTTTTGTTTTTTCAGATTGATCTTGTATTTGGTCCGGCTCGTTTTGTTTTTGCTTTTTATCTCTCTCCCACTGTCCTTTTAAGCTTTATTCAGGGGATATTCTCTTCCCTGTGCTAGTTGGAAACCAGCTCAGGTCTCGCACTTTTTTGTTTGAAATAACCCTAAAGTTATGAAGTCACAAAACAGTATCAATTCAGTATTTAAAGTATCCAGTCCAAGATATTAATTAACAAGCCAAACTTAATCTAATACTAAATCTTCTCTACCTGCCTGCCCCTCGCTCATCTCAAATCTACTCGAAGCTTGAAGCCTGGAGAGGAAGGGGAGGCTTTGCAGACTTCTATTTCCTGGCTTGGGTTTTCTCTCATTCCTCCATCTATAACATGTTAACCAGCTTTTGACTCCACCATGGACTAAAAGCGTAGAGAGGAGGAAGTGGAAAAGCATTAGGAAATGTCTAGCTTGGACTCATATAATCATAAACTTACATTCTTGCATTTTGTTGAACAGTATCACTGCTTAAGGGAACTTTCTCTAACATTTTGCTGTTAAATACAATGTTGTCTTGAGGAAGACCTCTTCTATTCCTTTTTTTATTGAGACTTTTTAGCATAAAAGAAGGTGTTAATATTGGTTAAGTGCTTTTCTCCATCTATAGAGTTTTCTCCGGGCATTCATTTTAATGTGGTGAATTACATTGTTAGGATGAAATTCATGTGATTGTAAGATTTTTCTTTTTCTAGTTTAATGCACTTTTGGATTCTCTTAGCTAACACATTTTTAGATACACACGTATATACACACACGTGTGTGTTTGTGAAATTTGCTTATACGTTTCTTGTGCTGTCCTTCTCTGATTTGGGATTTGGGTTACTTAAAAAGAACTGGGTAGCTTTACCCTCTTTTGCTATTTTATGAAACCAATAATATACTGTTGGGATTATCTGTTCCTTGAAACTTTAATGGAGTTTCCTGCAATATTATCTATGCCTTTGTTACCACACAAAATTGGGGTTCACTTGCCTGATGAGCATAAACAAACCAATTAATTATTGGATCAGCCTTTGGGAAGAGAGGTCAGCTTTATTCTGTGAGATCCATCTGCCGGGAGAACAGGGGTGTGCACCCACAGATCTGTCTCCCTGATTCAGGATTTGGGGTGAAATTTAATAGGTTGGGGGAACAGGCTGGCACACAGAAATGCTGGTGGGGCAGGTTTTGATCGGTGGGCTTCAAGCTTTTATGGTGAGGTTTCAAACATTTACGACAGGGTTCTAAACATTTGTGAGGTGGTGGGAAGGAATTTTAATGCTGGATCTTCCTGAATCAGGGACCCCTTGCTCCTGATAAGGGTCTGACTTAATTTCTGGTCGTGTCCTGGTCCTTGGGTTCCATGGGAAGGAGGATCTTTGGTTCTGTGGTCATTTCAAGTCACAATTTCTTCTTTTGCACATGCCCTGGCCATGTGACTTTGCAGATTTTCTGAAAGTTAATTCTTTTTTTTTTTTTAAAGATTGGCACCTAAGCTAAGTACTGTTGCCAATCTTCTTTTTTTTCTTCTTCTTCTTTTTCTCCCCAAATGCCCCCAGTACACAGTTGTATATTTTAGTTGTGAGTCCTTCTAGTTGTGGCATGTGGACACCACCTCAGCGTAGCCTGATGAGCCGTGCCATGTTGGCACCTAGGATCTGAACCGGCGAAACCCTGGGCTGCGGAAGCCGAGTGTGTGAACTTAACCACTTGGCCACTGGGCCGGCCCCAAGAAAGGCAATTCTTAATCACACTATTGATGAGAGATGGGGTCAGCTGAACTGGTCATGGGGAGCCCATGGTTACACCTTGAGCTTGAGATGATTTTGATAGCTATTGAAGAAATTGAAACAGAATTGCTCCCTCTCAGTTTTTATTTCTCTGTGGGCCAAGACAAAGCAGGAGAGGAAGGACACTTTAGGCAGAAAGAAGAGTTTGAATGGCCAAGACAGCAATGTTGAAGTACATTAGGTGTTCAGGGAACATAAATATTAATAGTTGAGACTGGCTGGAATGTAGGGTACCAGAAAGAATTGTGGGGGAAGAAACTGGAAAGGTTGTTTAGGACTAGGTATGATGGAAATGTCATCCATATCGTCCGTGACATGCCGTGAAACATGCTTAGACCTGTACCTCGCATATAGTAAGCACTGTTTAAAGATTTGTTAAATAAAACATTAAATTAATTTTACTTTGATTTACATTTAAAGTAATGATGTTTAGCATATTTTCGTTTTGAATTCCCATTTTAATTTCCTCTCCTTTAAATTAACAGTTCATGCCATTTGTCTTTTTAAAATCATGTTCTTAATCCTTTTCCATGTTGATTTATAAGGTCTCTTAGTATGTTAGATATATTAGGGCTATTTCTCTCATTTTGTTTTTAAATCTTGTTTATGATCCCTTTTCCTAAAACAGTTTGTTAAAGATAATTTTGTTAAATTTATCATATTTAATATCCTTTCATTTTATCATTCCATGTTCAATACAGCCTGGAATATCATCACAGTTTGATAAGAAGAGAGGTGATACTGCTGTCTGAATCTCTCTTCTACCTCTCCCGTGATCAGAGCCCACCTGCTGGAGAACAGGAAGAACAAACAGAGCCTGTTTTATCTGTCACCCTATTGTCCCCCATTGTAAACAACTCTGATCCATTTGCCAAAGTCCTCCCCCTTCCAGTTCATTCTTTTGCCTCTACTTGTTGTCTACTGTGTTCTGTTTAAGTAGTAGCATCTAAATAATATATTTTTTTAAATTTTATCATTGCAAATGATGGGACTTTGGATACAGCATAGCTTTGTGTGCTAACCTGGTGCCCTGATTAGTAAGAGGATTAATGTGAGTGAATACATCAGAGTCTCCATGTGACCCGTGAAGAGAGTGGATGTTTTCAAGTGATACTTGATTTAACATCTGAGTGACACATGAATAAATAAGAACTGAGGGTGTTGCCCAGATTGTGAATATGGAGTGAGAAGAGGGCAACATAATGGAACCTTGGGGACCCCTGATCTTTGAAAGGTGAGAAGAGAAAGAAGACCCCACCCTATCACTTACCAACAAGTGCATTTGAGCAAACCATATCAACATCTGTATTTCAGATCATTCATCTACAAAAAAGGAAGAAAAAAAGTGCTCATAAGCCCCCACTTTATGGCAACTTTGTGAGAATTACTTGTGAAAATATATTAAAAGTTATATATATGAAATACGTGAACATTATTGTTATATATAAAATTCTAAATGATCAATTATCATTCAACTGAGTAAGACTTTAAAAAAATATGCTTTCTACAGGAAAATATTATTAAAGGACTTATCCATATTTGAAACCAGCAAGTCACTGACCAGGAATGCTGTTGGCCCCTCTTAAGAGCCAGGCTGTCCCCAAGGACACTAGCTGCTCATTGGCATCATAAAGGCAAGTTTACATATTTTCACCTATGCACACAGAACAAGTTGCTCTCATGTGATAGAAACCAAACCTTTGCATCCCTCTATATAACCATTTTATACTTTAGTAGGCATTAATCTTTGAATCAAATCTTTGCATATATAGTGCCCTTTGGTAGAAGCCAGCCTCAAATTTAGCCACACATACACACTCCAATTTTTTTATAGGCAATGCATAAGACTTTTACTAAATTAGTGTAGCATACATTTAAAATTACATATTCACGTGGGCCAGCCCCGTGGCTGAGTGGTTAAGTTCATGCGCTCTGCTGCAGCAGCCCAGGGCTTCGCTGGTTCGGATCCTGGGCGTGGACATGGCACCGCTCATCAGGCCATGCTGAGGCGGCGTCCCACGTGCCACAGCTAGAAGGACCCACAACTAAAATATACAACTATGTACGGGGGGTGGGTATTTGGGGAGAAAAAGCAGAAAAAAAAAAAGATTCTCAAAATCTTCCTGTGGTTCTCAAACTGTCCCATGCCCACGCAGCCCTGTAGGCATCAATGCCTGCTTTTTCTTCCTGCTTGAGGAATTGCCCCTTCTTCTGTATGTTCCATTAAAATCTCTAGTTACTACGATCTGCCTGATAATAATTTCTGTGGGTGGTGCGAGTTAGAGTTAGAGAGTCATTATTTTCTCTGTGCATACAGTCAATTTACCCAACATGTTTGTTTGAAAAGACTTTTGTATTCCCTCTACTCCTCAGTGTTTCCTGGTCATAAGTCAATGTGCATATATGGGTCCCTATAAGACCAGTTTGTATCTGAACTTGCCATTTGGTTCCCCTGATTCCCCTGTTTATCCTTATGATGAAGCTTCACTACTGTGAGGCTATACGACTTGATATCAGGGAGAGTAAGTCCTGCCACCCTCTTCTTGGTCTTTAAGATGGTCTAATCTAGGTTTTTCCTTTATCATTTCCATATGAATTTATATGTTGTAATTTCCACAGCAAAACTGATCAGAATTTTAATTGCAATTGTACAGAATCAGCAGATCGATTCAGACAGTGTCGATATCTGTACAATATGGGATCTGTTCAGACACGATCACAGTTTTTCTCTCCACTTCTTTCAGTTATCTTTTGTTTTTCTAAATTCACTTCTGTAACTTTGTGGACAGAAGCCTTTCAAAACTTTCATTAGGTTTATTTCTAGGTATTTCATTCTTTTAAGATGTTTAAGTGTCATCTTTTAAAATTTAAATTTCAAATACCTTGTACCTGGTATGGGGAAATAAAAATTTGTTTGTATATTAAACTTGTATTCAGCCACCACAAAACTCAGTTGATTCATTAATTTATCAGGATTTTATACTTACACAATAACTTCATCTGAAGATCATGTCAAATTTATTTTTTCCTTTCCAATAAAATACTCCTTTTCTTTTCCCACCAATATTGCACTGGGCAGGGCCTCCAGTGTAATATCTAGTAGCAGGGGTAATATTGAACATTCTTCTCTCATCCCTGCTTTCAACACTGGGCTTTCATCTTTGGTTCCTTAAATACCCTTTATGGGATTGAGAGAGTTCCCTTCTAGTCTTCATTTCGTGAGAGTTGTTTTTGTTGTTTGTTTTAAAACATGAGTGAGTCTTTAATTTTATTATTTTTGTTTGCTTGTTTGTTTTATTTTGAAGAAGATTAGCCCTGAGCTAAGATCTGTGCCCATCTTCTATTTTATGTGGGACGCCTGTCATAGCATGGCTGACAGGCAGTGCACAGGTCCACATCCGGGATCTGAACCAGTGAACCCCAGGCCGCCGAAGTGGAACGTGTGAACTTAACCACTGTGCCACCAGGCTGGCCCCTAATTTTATTATTTTTCATTCTGCAGTTATTGTGATTATGACTTCTCTTTCTTCCAGGGTTAATGTACTGAATTACACTGCATGAACTAAATTTGGTCACAATATGGCCTTCTTATAAAATACAGCTGGATTTGGAATTTTGATTTGATTTTTATTTTTGTAAGATTCTTGAGTTTAATTCAAGAAAGAGTGTGGCCTGTAAATTTCCTTTCCTGTAATGACTTTGTAAGATTTTGGTTTAAGAGATTCTCACAAAGTGAGTCAAAAAGTTTCTGTTTTTCTATTCTCTGAAAGAGTTTGAGTAAATGTATGTTATTTATTTCTTGAATATTTGGTAGGATTCACCAATATTCTATCAAAGAAATATCCCATAATAAAATTTCGTAGGAATGTTTTAAACTATAACTCAATTTCTGCAATAGATATGATACCATTCAGATTTTTCATTTCTCCTTGAGACAGCTTGGTAACTTTGATTTTCTTGGAAATTTGTGAATTTCATCTACATTTTCATTGTATTAACAATATGTTGTTTAAATTTTCTTGATGTTAAAAAGTTTCCTTATGAAAGCACAGATTACACCCATTTTAGCTTTGGTATTTTTTGCAATTTTTCTTATTTCCTTTGTTCAACAGTTCTAGGAGTTTATCAAGTTTATTTGTCATGGATTAGAATCTAATTTAATTTTGTTTATTTTCTCTATGTTTTTCTTTTACGTTGTTAAGTCTGCTTTTTATATTTATCTTTTTCCATTTTCTTTGTGTTTACTTTTCTGTTCTGTTTCTAGTTCATGATGAATGCTTAGGACCTAGAACCTCAGCCTTTCTTTTTCATTTTTTTTTCTTTTGCAGAAGATTAGCCCTGAGCTAACATCTGCCACTGACCCTCCTCTTTTTCCTAAAGAAGAATAGCCCTGAGGTAAGATCCATCCCATCTTCCTCACTTTATATGGGGATGCCTGCCACAGCGTGGCTGGCCAAGTGGTGCATAGTCTGTGCCCAGGGTACAAGATGGCGAAGCCCAGGCCAATGAAGTGGAAAGTGCAAACTTAACTGTTGCACCACCGGGGAGGCCCCAGCCTTTCTTCTTTTGAATAAACATAACGTATAATATACATATGTACACATAACCATGGATTTCTCTCTAAGGATCATTTTAACTCCACTCCATGATGTTTTATAGGTAGTATTTGCAATTGGAAACATCTTCTAATTTCTATTGTAGTTTATTCTTTAATCATGGGTTGTCTCCATGTGGATTTGAATCTCCAAATACATCAGAATTGACGTTAGTTGAGCAGTATTCTTTATATGTACACGTGGAACATAAACCCGAACTGACCAGGGTCAAGTGTGCACATGGAAACTTTATTCCAATTGACTACATGCCAGACCATATCTCCAGTCTCAGTACATTCCAAAAAAAATTGAAATCATACTAAGTATGTTGTGAAAGTAAACTACATTTCAATCACGAAAAGAAAATTAGAAAATGCTGCCATGGATGTGGTTCCAGCATTGAAACATTTAACAATAGATCTGAGTAATTGCAAGATGTTAAACTATGGTAAGAAAAATCTTCATTATTTGTTTTCTGTTCTTTTCTACACTATGTCCCAAATCCCAAACCCACATCCTCTGTGTTCTAGTCACATGGAACCTATTCTTAAGTTCCCTGGATATTAAATACATTGCTAATTTGCCTTTCTTTTTGCCATTTCTAATAATTCTACCAAGAATTTATTACCCTATTCATTAGTCTGATATAATACGAGCGCTACTGCCTCTATGAGGAAGCTCATGACACTGCCAAATATAGATACTATCCAAATATAGATACTATCACTTATTTCATCCCATAGGTCACTGAATACATTTATCACAGTCCTACGTCACCACCTTGAATTTAATGCACTGGATGTTATCTCCCCTACTCACCTGTGAACTCAGGGATCAAGACAGACTCAGTGAGACCATGCTGTACCATAAGCATTTTGTATGCTGTGGAAATACTTATTTCTTAAATCAAATGCAAACTTTCTGTTTTCCTGCTCTGTGCCAAAACAGCACTAGACACTGGAAAATTGAGGATGTCTTCAATGTGATCTAAATGTAGTTTTAAAGAGGATGAAAAGCAAATATTTACATGCTGCCTGTTAGATTCCATGACAGGGATGAAAGGTTACTGTGCAGTGGTCCAAAAGGGTTTCCTTGAGATGACAATGTCTGCAATGGTTCTACAATGAGCCAAGTAAGCTAGTTCAGGGCAGAGAGAGAGCGTGTCATTTCAGGTGGAAATATTATTGGCTATAAAAACTAAATTACTAAATAGAAGAAGGAAGCATTTTGACTCTGCAGTCCTCCTGCAGAATCTTTGCCTTTCCTTGGGTGAATGGCAGATAACAGAGAGGTGGAGAATGTCTCTGCAAGGCACACACTCACCTGTCTCATTGGAAATCTCATTCTCTGGGCAGGGGGCGCAATCAAAACAGCAGGTAGCCTTTCCCTCCTGAGTGGTCTTCCTGAATCCGGGACTACAACTCTCACTGCATACAGAGTGTGGAGTCTGGAGAAGATCAGATACCTGTTGGTAACGGCTGTTACTTTTACCTAATTTTCCAGTTGCTAGAGTGTTTTAGAATACTGGGCCTTTAACAAATTCAACTTTTATATAACTAAATCCAATTCATTGGCTGGGTGCCACGTTTACTGTATGATATAAAATACAGGCATAGCTCGGACATATTGTGGGTTTGGTTTGAGGTCACTGCAGTAAAGCGAATATCCCCATAAAGCAAGTCACATGACCATGTTGCATTCCCAGTGAATAAAAAAAGATATGTTTACACTATACTGTAGTCTGCTATGGGTGCAACAGCTTCATATCTAAAAGAACAATGTACATAACAATTAAAATTACTTTATTGTTAAAATTGCTGCCCAATAGCTGAGCCTTTAGAAAGTCGTAATATTTTTGCTGGTGGAGGGTCTTGCCTCCACCTTGGATAATTGGTAAGTCAGAAAATTCCTTAAGTTGGAAGTGAGTTGTTAAATGCCCATATGTGGCCCTTTGCTAAGTGCTGAAGGAGCACAAAGCCCCCACAATAAGATTTTGGTTATTTATGTGTAGTGTGAAGCATTGTGATTAGATC